GGTGGGGCTGAGAGCAGGAGATGAAAGGAGATCAAGATGGGAGGGAGAGACCTGAGGCTTCTTCAGCAGTAAGGTGGATGCTCAAAGGTCAAAGCTTGAAGTACTGCTCCAGTCTCTGCAGCCAAACAACTGCCTTGCCAGAAGTTTCTCCTTCTCTAGTGTTTATATCTCTGATCTTCCTAACATCTAACCATAAACAGAAGCATTTATAGAGTTGGGGGGAGGGGCTCACAGCCTAGGACTTGAAGTCATTTCTCCATGATTCTTGCTCTGATTTACTGTGCTATACCTTCCACTCCTGACAGCTTTCTTGAGATTGTTTCTCCTTTTCATTTATGTTCCTCTACATGACTGCTTATTCCCCCTCTATTGTAAAACAACGCCAATAACTTGGGCAGATATTAAATGTCTGGCTTGGCTTGGCTTTTCCCTGCTCATTGTGTGTGGATGCTAGTATTGGAGCCTACCATGCAGTTGGGGTTTCTCTAAGGATCTCCCTCCTGGCTCACCTGTGTGTAGCACAGCCATGTTAGGACTAGTGTGGGTCACTTCACATTCTTTTGCCACCTTGTTGTGCCCTGGGCCAAAAGAGATGTAGCAATGGGAGTAAGGGGGCAGGCAGCACTCTGCTGAAACTGAGGATTTATTCATCCTGACCTAAACAGCGATCTGTTACTGTAGTTTCTCAAGAACAGGGGAGAATCTCCATTTAAAATGCAGTGGAAATCCCAATCTTCAATGGTTTTGACACACTTTCCCTAAGCTAAGGATGCTGATTTCGCCTTCAATTTTCCATTCCTGATGAGTGACAGCAGAGACGCAAAGCAGCCCTTCTTACGGGGAAGTGCCCTAGCTATGTCACTTCTTCCATTCTTATACTAGCTTTAGCCTCTTCCTCACTAGGTTTTTATTATGGGAAAATAATGGATGGAAGAAATTATTTGGATATAATAAAAAGACTGAGCACTGGTAATTGTGAAACCTCTCCGTGCCCTCAGACTCAGACACAGGAGTCTACTTGCTTCTCCAAAGAGCAAGCCCCAGAGACCAGCTTGAGAAGACCTGTGGTGAGGTCCCAAGGTATGCTCTGAAAGAGCCTGACACAGCTCCTCTGTTCACGTGTGCCAGGGTGTGCCCAGATCTCAAAAGGAGCTGGGGATTTTAAGCCATTTGTTATACTGCTAAATAGCCTCTAAAGGGTGCAACATTATTTGTGATTACAGCTGGTGTTTTTTGTTTTTATTGATAGTCCCATTATTCCCAGGTATACTTTTGGCTACTGCTTCATAGATGGTAGTTTCTGGGAAGAAAACCAAACCCTTGTTGGCTGATGCCCAAAGTGGGCAAAGCCAGGCCAGCTCTGCCTGCCATTGACTGGACTGCCTTTCTCTCTTAACTCCTCAGACCCCCAGGCTCTTGGCCCACATCCCATCCAGGTAGGAAAGGACTGTTAGCCAGCTATATTGTGACCTACATGAAAAGAGTGAAATGACCTGGGACTAGTCTTAGCACACAGCTGTCTGCCCACAAATCATGGCAGGTGAAGAGCCTTGGTATGCAAACCAAAGGCTCGTGGCTGATCCCCACAGACTGGAGGGGAGGCAGGAGCAAGCTAATACACAGCAGCTCACCTCGCTGTCTGCTGTGCTTGGTCTGTAATGGGATCATTACAAGGTGTTAATGTAAAAGTGAGCGATTGTGAACTGAAACCAGCTGTTGACCGTACTCTGCAGAAGGATCTGCGGTAAAGCTGGTATTCACTGGTGATATTATGTGGTGGTAGGAAGAGGAGAAAGCCCTCTTTCCTTGGACTCTTCTCTCTCAATGGGCTCAGAGGCAGTGCTCTCCTGGAGACCCCTGTGGTTCTGCAGTCACTTGCCCTGCAAGGAGGACCAGCAATGCCATCCTGCCATGGAGATGCTGCTGGGCACCCTCTTGCCTGCTTCCTAGCACTTCTTATGGTGCACAAGCCTCCAAGCAGGCTGCATAGCAGTTTCCTACAAAACTACTCTTTTTAATATCACATGAAGGAATTTGGAAGGAGTGTAGCCATGGAGCTGAACTTGAGGTTGCCCATGCAGAGTGACAGCATCATTTAAACACTACAGTGCAATAATGCATGGTTCATTGCAAGGAACCACGTGCTGGGCTTTATGTGCTTTGGGTAACAAGAAAAGCTTCCGCCTGGTCAACTCAAAATGCCAAAGGAAGGGACCATGGTTGAAAATTGGAGAGTTTTTTCAGCCCAGGGAGGGGGGCAGCTAATCCTGCCACGATCCTGAAACTCATTTCTGCTTCATTAGACATATCTGTGACCTGTGGAACGCTGCTGAAGACTCATCAGTGGATGCAGATATGATTGGTTTGCCAAAGTGTGTTTTGTAGCTGCACACTGACAAGCCTCTGCCTCCCGGCTTGCTGCTGCTGCCTTCCCCCTGCCTCCCCTTCCCCCTTAATTCTCAGAATTCCTCAGCATATTTCTTCTGCCTGAATCTGACTCTCCTGAAGCCCTGTACCTTACGGCTGGGTTTGTGTCTTCCTGGGGAGCTGCAGTTTACATTTTTGGCATGAATTTCTAGCTATACATGTAAAGAAAAATGATGTGCTCATCACAGATGTTCACTATCCCTGCTGCTGGTGTTTTGGCACCCAGGGTTCCTGGAAGCCCTCACAGCAGTCCTCAGTTGCTGACAGCTAACATGGACCTGAAGGTCACATGAAGGTGACTGCTCCAAGCTGAGAAGGCAGATCTAGCGTTATTCTTGCTGCTTAGAGGTGACTCTTATGGTCAAAGGGCTTTCCTCTCCAAGTCTTTGCTCTGGCACTATTTTGCATAAATGAAGTAGAGAGATCCAAGGGGTGAGCTTTTAGAGTTGGGCAGTCTTCTCAACATGGATTGAGCAGTCTTCAGGCAGCTGCTGAACAGAGCGGGAGTGAGATGGACAGGTTGAAGGTATCTGCTGTCTCTGCAACCAAAGAACCTATCTTGCATCCTCCTTAATGCTTTCTTTAAAGGGCAAAATGATTCAATACCCTTCTCTCTGGTTTAGCCTCTTCAGCAGCTTGATCTCCTAACCTACTAGTGACTTGTGGTTACCACAGCTGGGGAAAGAAGTTGTTTTGTCCATCTTGTGTTTCTAAAACAGGCACACATCCTTCTCTCTGCACCCTTTTTCCCTTCAAGTGCTTTGAAGACTCATGACCACCTGTATTTTTTTCCAAAGTAAATTGTACATTCCTGATTTTCCTCTATTTATGTTTTACTGAAACACTGGCTGACAGCATTAAGGTAACTTGTGATGCTGACTAAGCTTTTTTTTTCCTAATATTGCTGAAATAAAAACTGTTCACAGCTAATTCCTTGCCTATACAGATACACTTGATGCTGCTTTAATGTTTCTGCAACAGTGATCTGATGAATGTAGCAACGATGCTGGGAGTTACTTGACTGAGAGACAAATATTGCTTTTGGAAATATGAAAATGATTGGTGTTGCTACAGAAGGAAAACAAACACGCTGCCAAGCAGTAGTAAAACGTTCTAAACAAATCCATTCTGCCGTAATGGGATGCTTGTGCAGATAAATGCAGCAGTCTTGATTTCTAAATTGCTTGGAAAGGATTGCATGTTGTTGCTTTAGGCTGATAATAAGTATGAGGGAATCTGCATGGGTTTATGCCTGAATGAATTTTTGGAGGTCATCTGTGAGGATGAGGCCCCAAAGCCCTCACTGGGAAAGGTATCATGTCACCTACCTCACCAGCTTCTGCTGCTGCCAAGCATAGCAGATCATTTAACACCCAGGTCAGCTCACAGCTCTTGCTCCTACCTGTGGGGCTGTTGAAGAGACATACAGGACACAACCTCTGCAAGCAATTTATTAAGCATTTGAATTCCCAGGGCTTTTCAAATACACCATTTATTGAAGCAACTTTGATTAGGGAATGAACTTGAAGCACCACAAGGATTGCTCTTTTTTACAGGCTGCTGAATGTTACTTGCTGTTAGAGCCTGCATTTTCCCATGGGGATTTTTTTTCTCTTCAAATGGAATCATGTATGTGGAATACTCTTGCAAATCTGGATTACAAAGCACTCACTACTATTACTGAATTTTGGACTGCTGAGTGATAAACTCCTGGAAACTTCTCTTTGCTGTGTTAGTACTGGGAAAGTAGATTATACACATAGTCTCTGTAAAGTAGGTCAATTTTAATAACCCTTTCTCCTATGTGTTCATTTATCATATTCTATGGGCCAGCCCATTTTGCTCCATTCAGCTATTAACATTCACTAGAGCTATTTAAGGGAAGTAACAGCCTCTGCTGTAGTTTTTCATGCCACCGTCACTGTCTTGTTTTACAGCTATCTTGCTTCAGCATGAGCCCAAAGTAAGGGACAGAGCTTAGGAGTCTCTGACAGTAGTTTCTAAGGAGCAATTCATGTTTGCTTATTGCCTTTAGACAAAGTACATGTACAGTCAGCTGAAATTAGAGCAGGTTAGAGTGAGATGCTATTGGTTACATGTGTTTTTTTGAATGACAATGCTCTTCTCAAAGATGCTGCTCCCTTGAATAAAGGCACCCTAACCTAATGCCTGAGAGGCTGGCAGGACGAACAGATTTCAGATACCCACTCCCCCTTAACCTTCCCATGACTTTCCCACTGCTGTAGGCCAGGGCAGCACAGCCTGCAGCACATTCTGCATGTCCAGGAGACAAGTTTCCACCCCTGAAGTTGCCTTGCCTCCTATACACATTTACACCTCCTCATACATCATCTCTGAGGTACTTGCATCCAATACCGAGTTCATAAAACTTGAAAGGGGGAGGAAAGCAGGCCTGGAGGTTATGCTGTGCTGCATCTTATTCCCTTCTGCACATAAAACATGGTCCAGCAGAACTGTCTCTCTTCTGTCTCTTATTACTCCCTCCTCCCACCCTCTCAACCTGAAATTACCTTGGACATTTCTGTCCAATACATGCATCTTACAGCCCCAAAGCCATTTATAAATAGATTTTTATTTATAAAGTCAATTTACATAAAATACGATACTCTCTTAAAAACTGCATATATACAACTTAAGAAATCATAGCAAGTGCATACAAAAATGCCTTCAACACATTTTTTTAAAAAAACCCAAACTTCAGTTTTCAGAGAAGTGTACCTTCACACCAGGCAAACTCGGACACCACGTTAAGACACAACGTAAATTTACAGTCTTTTACTAAAGTGTTCAGAGAGAAAAAACAAACCAACAAAACAAAACACCTTTTTATCTAAACCGTGTATGCTTCCAAAACATTCTAGCTGGTAGTTTTCAAGAACAAGGGAATAGGACTTGCTAAAAAATAGAACCATCTCACCCCTTTTCTCTAAAGTTTCTTGTACAAAAATAAGTCTTCATACACCAGTGTTCCCATAGACAGTTCAAGTTACATGTAAAATAGAATCTGACATGATAAAAAATTCCCTCCCCCTCCAGAAACAAGGAAGCATCAAGTGGTTTTAATTTCTTTTTTTCCACCGCTCCAAAGCGTCACCAGAGACCAGCCGTGGGGGGAAGCGGGGTCGCAAAGGCCCCCTTCTCCGTCGGCCGCTCCCGGCGGGCAGACAGAGCAGCTGCCCGGAGCCGGTGGCAGAGTCCCGCAGTCATTTACACCATTGCACTTTCCACAGCCCGAAGACGACGGGTGAACCCGGCGAGAAGAGCAGCCAGCAGGGAGTGAGTATTTTGAGGAGGATGCTGACTGCTCCCGAGAGCGAGGGCGCCGAGTCACTGCTGGCTGAGAGCGGCTGCGGAGAGATGTACAGAGAACCCCGATGGGTGCGTGCCTCGCTGCCCCGCGCGCAGGGAACGGTAGAAGCGGCCCCCGTCCCGCCGCCCTCCGGAGCCCCCTCACCTGCAGCCGGGTCAGTAGCTCCCGAGCCAGCTGGTGAAGTCCAGCAGCTCCCGCTCCTCGGGGCTCAGCGCCGCGTCGTAGCCGCTCTCGTCGGAAGAACAAGGCGAGCCGGGCACGGAGGAGGCGAAGGAGGGCGAGGCGGAGGAGTAGCCGCCGCCGCAGCCGCCTTCCCCGACGGCCGCCCTCCCGCGGCCGTCGGCGAAGGCGGCTGAAGCGGCGTCGTGCTCATCGAGGAGCCGCTGCAAGGCGCGGATGTATTCGACGGCGGACCGGAGTGTCTCCACTTTGCTCATCTTCTTGCTGGCGGCGCTGTGCGGGACGTGCTGCCGGAGGGCGGCGAAACCCAAGTTGACGAGCCGCACGCGGTTGCGCTCCCGCTCATTCCGACGGGCCACGGCGGCCGCCGCAGCCGCCCCGGTACCCGGCAGGGCGGCAAAGGCCAGGCGGCGCTTGCAGCGCAAGAGCTCGGGGGACGGGGGCCGCCGGCGGCCGCGGGGGGCGGCTGGGGGCAGGGGCGGCAGCGGCAGGGCCCCGCCGTTCATCGCCGGGCGGCCACGGCGGCGGCTGGCGGGGAGCGCGGAGTGGGGGGGAAAAAAAAAAAAAAAAAAAAGCTTTAAACCCCCGAAATTTAACGGGGAGAGGGGGCCTGGGCACCGGAGTTTGTTTATTCCTACACACAACAGCTCCCCCGCGTCCCGTCCGCTCCCAGCGCCGCTCCCGCTCCTCTGCGGTGGCCGCCGCCGCCGGGACGGCCCTTATCAACGCGCCGCCGCTCGCGAGCCCCAGCCGGCCGCACGCGCCGCGCACGCCGCGCCACGCGCGCCCGCTGCCGCCGCGCCACCCCCTCCCGCCCGCCCCCGCGCGAGCCCCCGCCCCCGCGCGCGCCCGGCGCGTGGAGCCGCTAGGCCCCGGCAAACCCCAGCACTGCCCTCCGGCCCGCCGCATCTCCCCCCCTGTTCCCGTGGCCCGGGGGTGCGCTCACACACACACACACACACACACACACACACACACACACACGCACACACACACACACACACGCACACTTTGGAACGTTCTCCTTTTCTCGCCCCGTCTGTTTTTTGCGTTTTTAATATTTTGTTGTAATTTTCATTATTTACGGAGGGAGGGGCTCCCCTGAGGTGTTCCCCCTGCCTCGGTGGGGTGCCAGCTCTGGGTCCAGACCCGTCCAATGCGCCGTTTCCCCCCCCCAAACCAGACGGCGCACTCGGAGGGGCGCCAGCGCCGTGGGAGGCGGGGAGCGGCCGCGGAGCGGCAGAGTGAGCAGCCCTACCGTCGGACACGGGTTGGTTTGCTTTGCAAAGCGAGGGGATACACCGGGCTCGGCTTTGTACCAAACAAAACTGAATACAAACGTACAGCAGTTGCGTGAGTCACCTCGCCAAAGCCGTTCTCTGCAAGACGACTTTCAAGGCTTAAACAAGAGTTTCAAGGATAAAGGTGCGGAGAGAAGTAAAATGTAAAACTTTTGTGGCTCGGGGTCTACAGCCGGGCTCCCCTCTGCCGTGGCCAGCAGTCCTTCCCACTGTCCCCCAAGCCAGCGATGCTTCCATCTCTGGGCGGAACAGCAATAGGGTGCAGTGCTTGTGGGGAGATGAATTTAATGGGGAGGACAAAGGTGCTGCTTCTTCATATCCTGGGAGCTTATGGTGAGAAATAAATTGCAGGGTGTTTTGCTAATTAAATAGGGTGGGTGAAGGGGGTGCTATGCACACCTGCTGCCCAGGGGTTGCAGACCACTCTCGGCTTCAGCACAGTTTGTCAGATGTTCTACCCCTGGGTCTTTGCTGCTGCCCAGCCTTAAGACAACACCAACCAAAACCAGTGTGATGCTAAAACATCCCCAACAGACCCTCTCCGACAGACAGTGAGGCTCTGCAGCATGATTCAGGTATCAAAGTAAGGATCTGTACCCCCGTGGCTACCCTGACCCACTCTGGTGATGCTCCTAGGGTGTATCCAAGCCAAAAATAGTAATCCTTGATTTCTCGATGTGACATAGAGGGGACTTTTTTCTACCTGCATGGGTATTCAAGGAGCAGTATGGCTCCACTGCATTGGAAGAGGGAAATTTTTCCTGGGGATCGATTGCAATGGCAGCAGGTTGATGGAGGAGTGAGCCCTGCTGCAGCATCAGAGGCAGCTGGGCTGAAATTCCTGGAAGTGACATGAAGGAGCCTGCAAGTGCTTTGCATTTTTGACAATTCCACTCAAGCGTACATCAGGCTTAGCACCCAAATTCAGTGGCTTTTGAGACATTTTTGGGCTTGCCATGGAAGGGAAAACTGTAAGCAGCCACATGGAGCCTCTGAAGGGTTTGGTGCAGGTGGGAGCATTTTGCCTGTCAGGTTCCTGGGAAGCTGTCGTGGTTTAAACCCAGTCAGGCAACTTGTTCCCTCACTCCCCCCTTTCTTTCCCTCCCCCTACTCCCGGAGGGATGGAGAGGAGAATCGAAAAGAATGCAACTCCCACAGGTTGAGATAAGAACAGTTTAGTAACTAAGGTATAACACAAATCACTACTGCTACCACCAATAATAATGATAAAGGAAACAACAAGGGAAGAGAATACATCTCACCACCAGCCGACCGGTAACTTGTCCCAACAGCCCGAGCAAGCTCTGACCAATACCTCCTCCAACCCCGCAGTCCCAGCCCTTTCGGGTAACTCCCAGTTACATCCTGGGCATGACGTGCTGTGGTATGGAATACCTCTTTGGTAGGTTTGGGTCAGGTGTCCTGTCTCTGCTTCCTCCCGGCTTCCCCTCCTCCCTGGCAGAGCATGAGGCCCACAGAGTCCTTGGCCAAACCAAAACATCCTTGTTATCAGCTCTGTTCCCAGGCTGAAAGTCAAAACACTGCACTGCACCAGCTATCAAGAAGGAGAAAAATGGCTGCTACTGCTGAACCCAGGACAGAAGCACAGTCTAAACATGGTTGTGTGCGTGATCATCTCCTCAGCTCAAGCCATGGTGCTTGTCTTCAGCACCTGCAAAGCTGTTCTGGCTGGCACAGGGGCTTCCCTTGTGCCCATCACCTGCCACAAGTGAGAGTAAAATGCAATTGATTTCGGGTGTCATGGCACATTTGGCACAGGTGTCATCAGGACCACAGCAGACAGATGCTGGGTCAGTGCCACTGTGACCTACATGTTACAGGCAGCTGAGGGGAGATTTTAAATTCTTTTTTACCAAAACTTTCTGGACGTCAGTGGAAAGCAATAGAAGTCCTGTTGCAGTAAGGCTTGAGGAGTGAATGCCAGAAATAAATGGCAATGGGCAGTTGAACAGCCCTGTTCTTGGTGAGAAGGCAAGTCCCTTTTTGCCAGGCTGGGCTCTGCTCACATTGGTTTTGCTGGGAGCAGGGCTAGAACTGTGTTATCAGGCCCACCATTTGCACAGCTGGCTCCTCAGCAATTAGAAACACAAAATCATAGGATGGTTTGGGTTGGAAGGGACCTTAGAGATCATCTTGTTCCAACCCTCCTGCTTGGGTAGGGACACCTTCCACTTGACCAAGTTGCTCAAAGCCCCATCCTACCTGGCCTTGAACACTGCCAGGGATGGGGCAGCCACAGCTTCTTTGGGCAACCTGTTCCAGTGCCTCACCACCCTCAAAGTAAAGACTTCTTCCTAATATCTACCCTAAATTCCCCCATTTAAGTTATGGTTTACAATTAGATACTGTGTGGAAAAGAAAAAAGGAATTAATTCTAAGTAGGAAGGTGTGCTTTAGAGGTATGAGTACAGTTGTTTCACTTTTGAGGAGGGGGGAAGAAGTTTACTTGAGTTTATTTTTGTCAGGGAACTCCCTGTCTTCAGCATATGCTCTTTTCAAATGTAAACTTTCCTGGGCTTGCTGAACTTCATTTAATAACTCTTCTGACAATTTTTTTTCACCTGTAATTAATTTCAAAATGCCTGGGAATCACTGGAGGATTTATGGAAATAATAATTAAAAAAAAACATCATTTGGAGATGTTATGATTTCTCTCTGGTTTTGTTTCTTCCAAGGAAGCCTCCAGCCAGCCTTGTTTCCATTCACAGCAGAGTTGTATGGTGCATCTGAAGCTTAGCAAAGCCCAGCACCTCCCCCTTTTCTCCTCTCCTTCCCCTCTTGAAAAGAGATAGCCCGGGTTTAAAAGTTGATTTTTAGCTTTGACTGTGCGTATGTGCTATATGAATGCTAAGCAGCCTTCACAATGCATCCTTGTGATGCGCCTGGAAAGGCAGACACAGGCTGTGAGGTCTCCCTGGCTTCCCATCATTCATATAGCTTCAGTGTAGCTTGATATGGACGTGTTTTATTTATGAGTGAGCTCTAGGGTGAATATAGGTGTCTCACGGGCAGTAGCTGAGGGACTGAATGGCCTGAGCCATGACACTTGTAAATCTGCCACAGCTGGAGCTATTTTCTGCTGTGGAGTAGAGCTACTTTCCCTAACACAGGTGTAGGCTGGCAAAGGAGGAGGCTCCTGAGAGGCAGGAGGGGCCTGGCATGGATGGACTGATACTGGCCTGCCTGGCCAGGCCTGATACTGGCCTGCCTGGACAATGGGTGTAGCTTTGCTTCTTGGGGCAGGTTCCTCTCCCCTGCCTCCAGCCTATCCTCCCATACAGGAGCATGAGTAGCAACACCCCAAAGCCAAGGGAGAGGTTTCTCTTACCTGCAGCCTTGCTGGGGTTCAAGCAGCTGGGGCTGGGATGCTGCTGTTACATCACTGGTGTCTGCGTTGACAGAGCGAGAGCCAGAAAAGTGGATGGTGAGAAAGCACTAGCATGAATATAGCCTCTTCTCCTCCATTTGTGCTGAGTCTTCCAGGTTCACCTCATGCAGTATTAACACATTAAATCCCTTGGCTCTTTTAGGACATCCATCTGATAGCGTGAGCAACAATTCCCTCCAGCTCGGAAGAAGGCTGGATGTGTTAGCTCTGCAAAATATAAACCCTAACCCTCTTTTTAAATCAATCCTTTCCTCCTGGATGAGGTGGCATGTACTTCTGACACCCACGCAGCTGCGGATGCTGGTGTGTATTTTCACAGCCTAACAGAAGGCTGCAAACAGCCACAAGACTGGAGGAGGAGGGCACCTGGGCTCCCCTGGGTATTTTTAGCCTTGCTACCCTCTTTCTGTGCTCTGGCTGATAACCAGAGATAAGGGAGGAAGCCACAGGCAGGAGCTGTAGTCACCTTCAGTTTTTGCACTGGCTTTGAGGGTGATAAGTTGTGCTCTTGCAAAGGGAACCAACTGATAAAACCCAGCAGGGCGGCTAGGAGTCCGAGTCTTGCCAGAAAAGCCACACTGCCATCCCACCCATGCAGTGGCTGCAAGGATGGTTCCCTGGCATGCTGGCAGCCCTGCTGCTCTTCCCGCTGGGATGGGGCTAGGGGAACACTATATTCACACTGGAGATGTGAGAAGCATCAGAGGACATGGGACAACTACTCAGGAATAAGCAACCATACCAGACAACCAGACAACCATACCAGAGAAACATCAGTTTAAACCCAGGTGTTTAATGTTACAATCTGCTCTGAGAGCTTGGTGAAGGTTCAGGGAAGGTGCCTGTTTTTACTGGAGAAAAAGAGGTAGAGCATCTGTTGTGAAGAGACTAGGAGCCCTTCCAAGGGATGTAGATGATGATTCTGTGACCTCTCAGGTGACGTGCGAGGCTTCTGCAGGGACAGATGAGACCTTTGTGAAACTGGGAATGGAACCTCTCGTCTCTTCCCTTCAAAAGTCCACTTGCATCACCCAGGCCTTCAGGAAGGGTTTCTGCTGGCCTGTGGGGACCTCTAGCGTGGGATTCGGCTTTGCACAGGCCTCCCCGGTGGCATCGTTTAGGGCTGGTTAAGAAAACCAGGCTGTAGGGGAAAATGAAGATGGGCCGTAAGGTTTTTCTCTTGTCACTCGCTGTGAGACAGGCTCCAGGTGTGTTCACGGTAGGTGGCAAGGCTGTCCCTCGCTTCTAGCCGACCACTGCTCTTGGCTGGGCTTCCCTAGCTGATTTTACACACAGAGCTGTGCTTTGTACCTTCTTGCAGCCCTTCCAGATTTAACCTGCAACTCCACCTGTGGACCAGCCCTACTGCTTTTGTACCACTGGTTATTTCCCTTGAAAATGCAGGTAACAATGCAACCATCTGTTCCATAGTGCCAGAAGAAGTGACAGGTGCTAACAGCTCTGTGTTCAGACGCAGTCCTGACTCCACCACAATGTTTTATAAGACGCTTTCCCAACTTGCCTGTCCCCAGGGGACCTGCTTTTGGACATGGATGTATGGGCATCAGCTGCATCACCAACCTGTTACCCTCTCTCTGTAGTCCTCCCTCTACTGCTCTCCTTCCCCACTGTCTATCCGGTGGTCTTTCTCAGGTGATTTCCAGCTGGTGGCTGGAGGAGGAAGGTCTCCATGTGTATGTGGGTACATCAGCATCCCCTGCTGCACATCAGAGATCCTCACTAGGGTAGAGACCCATGAGCCATAGGGTCGCCTGATTTTGGAAAGAGCTGTGGCAGCTCTCATTGCTGTCTCGGGAGGCTGCAACCAAGATGTTTTGCAAGAAAGCTTACACGAAAACTAGCGATGTAGTCAGAAGATCATTACATGCTTTTTCCTGTTTACATGGTTTTGTGCAACACACTTTCTCTTGCACCCATTTGCTCTCCAAAATGCATCTTCCTTCCTTTTTTCACTCCCCTCCACCACCTTCTATATCATTTTCCTGTAGCTACAATTACTGATGTGGGATGGTTTTACTTTTTCTCCCCCTTTCTTTGCCACGTAGGGAGGGTGCCACTATTTTCCACTTGTCTAGCTCTGAAAGTAAGGATGATTAAGACATTCAGCCATCAAGCCTCCCTTTGGACAGATTGTTCTTGAGGCTTTTCTGCAATTTACTTTCAGGAAATATGCATGCAGCAGGTAGCTGGTTTTGAACACCAGAAGTCACCTGAGTCTTCTGTAGCTGTGGGTCAATGGGCTCTTCAGTGCTACGAGAGGGGAAAGAACAGAGTCAAAATGTCCGTGGACAGTGAAGGTCTCCTGAGAAGGGAGTTATACTTATGTATATACATTTTCCTGAATAAAATGCTACCAAGGGGATTTTTATCTATCATCGGCAAATAAAAATTTTAGTAGGGTCTCAGCCAAAGGTTATTGCCATGTAGTGATTTCTAAACAGAGAGGGAAGACTTTCATGCAGATCCTGTTTGGTGGTTTTGATCTCTTTTTTAAACAACAGGTTGGGGCTGAGGTTTTTTTTTCTAATGTTTTCCTAAACTTTTTTCCCAAGATAGTATTTAAGCAGATTAAAGGAAAAAAAAAAAAAGTTAGTGACAGTGTTCATTAAAGCAAAACTGCCTCCCGGTGACAGTGCCAAAAGGAGCATTTCAATACTGATTCATGACTGAAGAATTTCAGAAATTGTTTTAAGAACCATTGCTCCAAACTAAATGAAAGGCTGATTTTTCTTATGCTTTTCCTCCTTTCCCAGCTGGCTACATGTTGGAGCTGATAGCAGCCCACCAAAAGCCCAGGCAGAAGGCAGCTGCTCTAACCAGGATTTAATTAGTCGGGCAGGAGGAAGTGCAGCAGCACGTGGTGGGGACTACACTTCCCGAGAGGCCCTGCTGTGGCCATGCCTCCCTTTGGGGAAACCCAGGCTTTATCAAGGGCTGGAGGGACGACTCTGGGGACAAGCAGCCATGGGAGTCAGATGCGGGATGAAGGCCACCAAGTGCCAGCTGCTGGTGACCAGCCTCTGTGTCATGGTGAGCAGGCAGGTTTGGGGCGATCTCTGCAGAACTGAGGTGAACCATTGCTTTTCCTGTCCCTGGTCAGGGAGAGTCAGGCTTTCCCATGCTGTTTTTCACGGGTGGAGGGCAAGCAAAGCTAACTGCCTGAGTTATCGTTGCGCCCAGCACGGTTATCGCTGGCTGCCATTATCGCGGTCCCTACCCCCCCCCTTTCCCCCGCTGATAGACTTCTGGTTTCTCAGGGCTGTCGTGCCGCTGCAGCTTTCACAAGCCAGTGGCCACCTCGAAGGAGAAAGCAAAGGTCGCTGCTGGCAGAATGGGTGGTTTTCAGCAAAAAGGTATTTGCTCCTGTCTCCCTGGGGCAAAAGAGGGAGGATGGACCTGCTGCAGTCACACTTGTTGCTGTTAGGATTGTAAGCTGCAGGTGGAATTGGCCAGGATATGAAACCACAAGGCTTCAGTGGAGGTATATGTGAGAGGTCTGTGGGTCTGTACCACAAAGTGAAAGCAATTCTAGGGATCCTTTTTATCAGCTTTTGAAGCAAGTTCAAGGGGAGCTTCTCAACATTTGCTGTTACAGCTGATGTGAGACAGTGGAAACTGAGAAATGCTTCTCCTGGATGTTGAGTTGTGTGTGTTTGTTGCCTTTTCACTTCATCAAAAGGCTTAAAAAAATAATAAAAAGAATAACAAACAAGCTTAAAGAAAAAAATAATCTCTATTTAGTTCAAAGAGGGTTGGTGGCTTGGAAAGAGTGTAATTTAAAGGTAATAGTTTATTTTGGGCCATACATGAAATGTAGTTTGTCCAAATTTCAAGTCTGTTGGCTGTAGTGACTATACATCATTCTCTCTTCCAAATAAAAAATATGTCATTTGGAGGAAATCAAAGGAGGATTGCTACCAAGCATATTCAGAGGAGATATTAAGGCACAGCTGCCCTGGATAGCTAGGATCACATTATTGCAGTTGGGAGGATTTTAGAGTGTTGTTTCTCAGATATCTAAGCTAACCGGTGTTGCACTTGGCATTTTGCTGGGTGTGGGTTGAGATATGCAATAATGCGCAGCATGGAGGATGAGTGGCTGCCAAAAATTAAGTTATTTATAAGGAGAAAATGCTAAATTTTTGATTTATTTAGTCTCCAAAGCTGTAAGTCTCCAGCAAAAGCTACTAGAAAATGTCATACAGAGGAGATTATGTTGACACCGGACTGTCATATCTGACACAGGGATAGCTGCCTTGTGTTTTCGTATTGTAAAAGCAAAAAATAATGAAAGCTTATCTTAGGAGCTAGGAGTGGCCTCAAATCTTGTATTTTCCAGGTTCGTTACACTAAAGTTGGAGGTGTTTTTAACTGTGCTGCTGTTGGTGCCTCCTTCTCAGCTCTGCCACTGGTTGTGCTGCAAGGCACATGTGCCATCAGAAGGCAGGTGCATCAGAAATGTTCCCTTTCTATTGCCTGGACCAGCTCTGGGCAACACAAAGGGTAACATGCTGGTGGTTACCCTGTGCCTTAGTCATGCCAGTGCTCTCAGGGATGGGACAGAAACATGAGTGGCCCAGCACCACATTGTGGAGACAAAAGCCAGCACAGATTACTCAAGAGTACTACAAGACTCAGCTTTTTGCTGAGTATATGGTGTGTTTTACAAATACACAAATATGTATATACAAAATATTGTATATTTTACAATAGGAAATAACAGCTAACAGCAGGCAATGGGACTAGCATTGCAAAGAACAATGCAGAGAACATCACCCCTGCCCAAAAGCACTATTGAAGCTGGCAGCCCTTAAAACTGCATGTGCATACTCTGCAGAGCCAATGAGACTGCACAAGTGTGCTGCAAGAGCATCAATCCTCTGGGTTTTCTTCACATGGTGGGAACTTCATTCAATGACACTGGCCAAGAGACTTTGGGCTGTGCAGTGTCACGTGCACTCATTATGCAACAGATAAAATGTGCTTTAGTATGTTTAAGTGTCTGGGGCTTGTCCTTTTATGTGTATTTTGGGGTACATTTGGATGATCAGGCTTCCTGAATCTGCATGGAGCCCAGGAGTATCCAGATACACCTCACAGTAGGAACTGCTGCCTGTAAATCCTTTCCTAAAAACCTTCTTTTCCAGCTGCTGGGGTTGTCCATTGCCACGCTGAGCACAGTCACCCACTATGGGCCACATTTCACCCTCATCAGAGACATCTCCCTGGAGAGCAACTCTTACAGAGTCATCCACCACACAGGTATGTCACGGTCACATCCCAGTAAGACCTCTGGTAAACATGGGAGCTGAAGGATCCCCTAAGGCAGATGAAGGAAATGCAGAGGTATCACAGAAAGAGGCAGAGGCTGCCTTTTGGAGGATGCATCAGGGCTGACACAGTCCCACAGGCACTTTTTTTCTTTATCAGATCTGTACACCTGGCACCAAAAGTGCTGCTGCATTTGCTCCTGTCCCTCTATTCATTGTCTCCCCAGCTTTCCAATGTGCTGCATTGAAAGCTCAGGGGGAGCTCAGCCACAGATGGACCTAAAGGTGCTGTGGGGCTGGAAGGGCCCTGGGGACATGGGGAGGGGGACTCTTACAGGAGTTGAAGTAGAGCTGAAAATTGAAGCTGGGAGCCAAAATGCATGGGAAAACCTGTTTTTGTTTTTTTTTTTTTGAGGAAATGTAGGGGGTTTTCCCTACAGAAGGGAGAAATATGAATTGAGTCTCGGGTACAAGGCTAGAGCAAAGAAATGAGAACAGCCCAGATGCTAAAATGCCCTGCTCGTCTCTGCTGCACTTGCATCTGCTGCTTTTCCTGAGCTGTACTGTGGGCTTAAACATATATGGGCATATACCCTCTCTAGATCCTGGTTTTCAATTTCAGTTTAACATGGCAGGTGTTAAAAAAACAATGTTAGCCCAAAGCTTAGGTATAGCCTTCCCCCTTTCCTACACATAGCAGATTATATCGACTGGCACTTAATGCAGCCTCGCAGGTTCTCTCTTCCCAGCTACCCCTCTCTAGCAATGCTTCCACTTGCTTTGCTTGCAAGCACTAATTCCTTGCAGTTAGCTCTGAGTGAGGGTTGCAAAGCCCTCTGCAGTGCTGTGGCCCTGGGGTACCAGCTGTGACCCTGCCTTAGCAGGGAGGAAACCAGAGGGCAAGTGTTGCACCAGATTAGCAGCACACAAAGTCCTGATAGAGTCCATGGGACAGCTGCTGCACAGCAGCACCCCACATTCAGGGGATCCTTATCACAGTTCTGAAATAATTGACAGCTTGTGGTCTGTTGGGTGGACCAACACCCTTTTAGGGTGCTTCCCTCTGCTGAAGCTGTGGGAACTGCTCAGGGGTTTGCAGCCCTGCTAGGCAACTACAGCACACACAGATGGGGGGCACTGAATAAATCAGAAAACATTCCAGTTCTGCAGCCTGGTCCCCTTGGACCAGCTCCCCAACATTCACTTTCTGCTCCCTCCTTGGGTGAAAGCATTGGACAAGGTCTCTCTTAGCCCTGAAGTCTTTGTGTCTGACCACAGCTCCCACGTCTGACTTCCTTCCAGCTTTCTACTTTGGGATCTGCATCAGCATGACCCTGATCCTCGCAGCCCTGCTGGGCTCTGTCGCCATGGTGCGGGAATCGCAAAGCCTCACTGCCATGGTGCGTATCGAGTGGGGCTTTTTGTAACCTTGGGCTGGTACCGTTAAAATGTGGGGGGTTAAAATGGGGTTCTGCCAGGGAGTGTGCACGCCTGGGGAAGAACATCCTATTGCTCCACCCTGTGCTGCAAGGGTGCACTTTTGTAAAAGGCATGACCTCTTCCAGCTGAGGATTGCATCCTTCTGTTCCTTGTTTCTTTTGCCAAGATGCCTGTATGCAGCTTTCAGAGCAGGGTCAGAGGCAGGTGCTTCTCTGCCAAAGCAATTGCAGTGATGATGATTCCCACTGTATTTTCTTTCTCAGCAAGTCAACACGTGGCTTGTGTGGGGAAACCTTAACAATGCCATTTTGAGTACCAAGTTGTTCCTCTGACTTGTGACATCGAAGTCAGCTTCCCTCCTTCCTCCCTCCACCAGTGGGTGGTGTGAGGCATACAAAGCACGGCAGCAGGCACAGGGGCTTTGGGCTGGACCCTCAGTTTCAGCCTCAAAGGAGAAGGTGAAGGGGTACCAAAAGAACTGAAATGGCACCTTTCTGTTCTCCATCATCCACAAAGTGCCTGTTTCGGCCTGGACCATGCCAGGATTAGTGAGCTCAGCTCCATTTAAAAACACAGCTTGCACACAGGGCTTGGTCTGAATGGAACAGCTTCCAGCCTCAGGGCTGGAGGGATGAGCAGAAAAGCACTGCTCACTGCATGTTTGCCCATGCTGTGTGAAAGGCAGGAGTTAACAGGTAGGTTGCTGTGCATGAAGCCATACTTAATATAAAATAATTGCACTGCTGTCATACATAAACTAGCTTTGCGGAGATTTATTTAATCTATCTAATTGGGAAAAATTATACTGATGGCAGAAATGAAAAGCTGACAACTTAAAACTTGGTGCAAGGCAGCTACTGAAGTTAATGTTCTCACCTTCTCAATATGCAGTCTTCCTTTCTCTGTTTGAGATGTTCAAAGGGGCCTGAGTGACACAGTTCCCATGAATGTGGCTAGCAGAGTATATATAATTTCCCCCTATTTTGCTAACATATACTTTAACGTCTGCCTGCAATTACCACATCTAAAACAACAGATGAGTATGCATGGGCCAGTGAAGATTGTCACAGCTGCCTGAAAATACAGTTGAACTTCTCTATAATGTTTATTTGCTTGCCTTACTCTCTGTGTGGTATGGTTTGGGACATGCCACTATGTAAAACATGCTTTTAAAGTTATAGCTGTTTCCTGAACAGTTAAATTAAAACATAGCAGCAAACTCCACAGTTGCTGTCCTCTTGAGGGCACCTGATGCTTCTTTCCCTTCCCCCTGCCGTGGGGATGAGGACCCAAATGTCCTTTACTCCAGATACCCATCGACTCCCCCAGACTGACTGGTTTGGTGTAACACAGCCAAGAAACCTCCGGCTGGCAGAACTGCCAACCTAGCCATTTACTTTTGTGCTTCCTGGCATGTCCTATTCGCTTTGCTTTAGCATGCACATTTTGCATCCTTTGGGAGAGTTGGCTGTCTTCATTTTGGATGTCTGACGATGATACCATTGCAGTGAGGACACAACATCATTGCCTTGTGGGAAGAGGAGGAAAGTGCAAGTGCTTTCCCGCGGCCGTGGCAATGAGGCATCCCGCTCTGCCCGCAGTAGGGGATAATGGGATGCCCCTTGGTTGCTTTTAAGCTCCGTTTCAGCCGTCTTCGACAGCGTGAGGGTCCCCAGTGCGTGTGAAGATGGCAGGGCCCAGTGCCAAGGCAGGGGTGCCAGCCCGCTTCCGGCGAAGGGGGCCCTCCACCGCCGCGTTTCCCGGGAGCTGCCGGCCCGGCTGCAGCTCCGGCTCCGCCGCTGGAGGGGGCCGCGGCCCCGCCGAGCTCCGCTGTCCCCGCCCCGCGCTTGGCACCTGAAGATGGCGGGAAAACGCAGGGGGGAGGGTTGCTACAGCCAGTGCGGCGGTGGCAGAATGTCCCCAGCTCTCCAGCATTTAGCAGGGGACCTGGCAGATACCATGTCACCAGCAACGTTATTCTCTGCTCCTGTTCAAACAGCTCATCAGCATCGTAAATAGGGGAGCTTTGCTTATTCCTTTAAATTGCAAGCCGTCTACTGCCGTTGTCTTACAGCAAGGGCCAGCCCATTGCTCGTTTTCCCACAAGGTCCTATCCCCTCCCAAGGCTCGTGTTTAATCTCTGATCTGGAAGCAAGACATGCAGGCAGGGAGAGCCAGCTCGATGGCTGTGGTGAGATGTAATCACAGGCAGGAGTGGGGTTCAGCCCTGTGGGGCTCTGAAACTTGCCGTTGGTGTCACAGCCTGCCCTGTTGATCCCCACTGGGCTGTAGCTCACAGAAGTAATTGCCACCCCCAGCCTGTAGCTTTTTTCCCACTTAATAGGATTTTTAACCTTCCCCCACTATTGATTGCAAAGGATTTTCCCTCTCCTGCAAAGTGTGTGTCTTAGAATCATAGAATCGTTAGGGTTGGAAAGGACCTTAAAATCATCTAGTTCCAACCCCCCTGCCATGGGCAGGGAAACCTTACGCTAAATCATATCACCCGAGGCCTCATCCAGCCTGGTCTTGAACACTGCCAGGGATGGAGCATTCACAACCTCCCTGGGCAACCCATTCCAGTGCCTCACCACCCTAACAGGAAAGAATTTCCTTCTTATATCCAATCTAAACTTCCCCTGTTTAAGTTTTAACCCATGACCCCTTGTCCTGTCACTACAGTCCCTAATGAAGAGTCCATCCCCAGCATCCCTATAGGCCCCCTTCAGATACTGGAAGGCTGCTATGAGGTCTCCACGCAGCCTTCTCTTCTCCAAGCTGAACAGCCCCAACTTCCTCAGCCTGTCTTCATACAGGAGGTGCTCCAGTCCCCTGATCATCCTTGTGGCCCTTCTCTGGACTTGTTCCAACAGTTCCATGTCCTTTTTATGTTGAGGACACCAGAACTGCACACAATACTCCAGGTGAGATCTCACAAGAGAGGAGTAGAGGGGCAGGATCACCTCCTTCGACCTGCTGGTCACGCTCCTTTTGATGCAGCCCAGGATACGGTTGGCTTTCTGGGCTGCGAGTGCACACTGCTGGCTCATGTTCATTTTCTCATTGACCAACACCCCCAAGTCCTTCTCTGCAGGGCTGCTCTGAATCTCTTCTCTGCCCAACCTGTAGCTGTGCCTGGGATTGCTCCAACCCAGGTGTAGGACCTTGCACTTGGCATGGTTAAACTTCATGAGGTTGGCATCTGCCCACCTCACAAGTGTGTCAAGGTCCCTCTGGATGGCATTCCTTCCCTCCAGGGTATCAACCGAACCACACAGCTTGGTGTCATCGGCAAACTTGCTGAGGGCGCACTCAATCCCATTGTCCATGTCACCGACAAAGACGTTAAACAAGACTGGTCCCAACACCAATCCCTGAGGGACACTGCTCGTTACTGGTCTCCAGCTGGACATTGAGCCATTGACCACAACTCTTTGGTTGTGTGGCCATCCAGCCAGTTCTTTATCCATCGAGTGGTCCATCCATCAAATTGATGTTGCTCCAATTTAGAGACAAGGATGTCATGCGGAACAGTGTCGAATGCTTTGCACAAGTCCAGGTAGATGACATCAACTGCTCTACCCCTGTCCATCAGTTCTGTAGCCCCATCATAGAAGGCCACCAAATTGGTCAGGCAGGATTTCCCCTTAGTGAAGCCATGCTGGATGTCACCAAGCACCTTGTTGTTTTTCATGTGCCTTAGCATGCCTTCCAGGAGAATCTGCTCCAAGATTTTGCCAGGCACAGGGGTGAGACTGACTGGTCTGTAGTTCCCCGAGTCATCCATTTTCACCTTCTTGAAAATGAGGGTTATATTTCCCTTTTTTCCAGTCATCGGGAACTTCACCTGACTGCCATGATTTCTCAAATATGATGGCCAGTGGCTTAGCAACTTCATTCGCCAGCTCCTTCAGGACCTGCAGATGGATCTCATCAGGTCCCATGGACTTGTGCACGTTCAGATTTTTAAGATGGTCTCGAAACCAGATCCTCTCCTACAGTGGGCCCAAGGTCTTCATTCTCACAGTCCCTGTGCCTTCCAAGACTTGGGTGGTTTGGTCAGAGCCTTTGCCAGTGAAGACCAAAGCAAAGAAGTCATTCAGAACCTCAGCCTTCTCCAAATCCTGCGTAGCCAGTTCTCCCAAGAGCTTCCTGAGGGGGTCTTGCATTCTTCCTAGTCTGTTTTTTATTTGCTATGTACCTGTAGAATCCCTTCCTGTTATCTTTAATACCTCTAGCTAAGTTTAATTCTAACTGGGCCTCTCTTGTGTAGAAGACCATTTAATTCAGTCTTTAATCAAAGAGAGGAGACACCAGTGTATCGGTGCCTGACATCTGTGGCTGTATAGGAAACCAAGCTGCGCTCTGGGGAAGCCTGCACAGCTGTGGGTAATCCACCACAACGCCGCTTGGTAAACCAGCTACCCTGGGGAGACACCAGCAAGGATGCAAATGGGCTTAGAGGAGCATTGCCCTGGTCACTGACCTGTTGGGTTGATCCCACCTCCTCCTTGTGTCTCAATTTCCCTACTGGTCTTTTTTCCCCCCCTTCTATTTAAATTATAAATGCTTACCCTGCCTGCCTATCTGAAGGTTTGTGTATATGCAAAGGAGGGGCCTCAGTCTTTGCAGGCCTTAATGGTGCTGTCCTAATAACAACAGTTGGGTGCACAGTGGTTGGAAACCAGAACAGGTCAAACTGACTAAAGCACTCATATTTTAGGAGCTTGTCTTTCTGCTGCATTAGCAGCACCAACAGACCAGACGGACACTGCTGTGCATTCACTGATGCTTGTGAGGTATCTAGAGAGTAACTGAGAACTTAAGGATAAAAATTATGTTCTAAAACCTGCATATTATCGCTAAAGCTCCTCTTAGGGAGAGTGGTGACAGGCTTATCGACTGTCCTCAAGTTCTGGCAAACCCTGCTGTTTAGTGATCCATGGTCCATCATGTAGTCAGTCCTGAATGTAAACATCCTGCAGCTCTCAGGGTCCCTGAAGGCCATGTCGCTATTGAAGGGGAGGAGAAGGAAGGAAAACTGCAGTTTTGCTAGTACTGCTTGTACAAAGAAAAGACTCTGGCTCCAGTGGGGTTTAAGGAACAGTGTGCTGTTATCTGGTCAGATGGAGACAGGGGAGATAAAAAAAAAACAGGGAGCAACTAGAATATCCCTATAAGAATAAAATTCTTATACCTGAACTTTCCAGCCTAAAACCCCCTCTGTACAGCAAAATTCATGTTCAGGATGGAGTAGCTATTCCACGTACCAGGTCAAAATAATTTCTGTGGCAAAAAGGCCTTAATGAATGCCTGATATAGCCGAGTTTTTCACCCAGAATGATGTCAGTAGGGCCAGCACACAGCACAAGCTGTTTGCTTTACTGTGCCCAGGTGTATCATTGCAGACAAGTGTGTAGAGAGTCCTTAATAACACTGCAGCTCACTTCAGCATCTTGCTTGCACAATGAATATGTCTCGTGTGCAACCCCTCTTGGTTCAGCACTCCCAAGCAAGGCATCCAGTGGTCCAGTGGAAGCAGGCATAGGCAGAGACAATGTGTCTAGCTAGAGCTGAAAACAGATTCCTCTTTTGGACTGTCTCATGTTTGCTGCATGGAAAGGCAAAACCAGTGTGTGTTCTTAGATGAACTGGGTCAGGAAGAGAGGGATACAACCGGATGGGTGCGATCTGAAATTAGCTCCCATCTTCCTTGACCCTGGGCTGTGAAGTCTGGCAGGGAGCTGACCCTTGCAGTGGCCACAGCAGCTGGAGCTGAACAGAACACAACACAAGCCGGCTCCTTCCCTGGGAGGGCAGGGGTCTGGTAGAGCTGCTGAACCCAGTCTGAGATTAAGGGACCCCCTTAACTGTCAGGGCAGCGCCAGAAAGGTGAATTAAAAGATACACCAACCAACAGAGAAGGCTGTGCATTCTGTCAAGTCTCTCAAAGACAAATTGTTTCTTGTAGCAAGGATGGAAACAAGGTCATCCATAAAAGAGTAATTGATGCCTGGCTGGTGACAGCCCTCCACAGGGTGATGTGGCTGCCTCCTGCAAAGGGAACAAGGAGCAGTCTGCAGCCAGCTCTGAGGAGCTCCAGGAGTCTGGGAGATGGTGAACCAGCCTTGACCCTTCCACATTTTGTATGTGAACTATGCGATGCCTTTTCCTTTTTTCTTTTGAATGTCTTCTAATGTAATTAGAAAGTTGCTTTTACAAAAGCCTTTAGGCTGGGAGGAGAAAAAGCAGCTTATAATTCATTTATAAGATGTTCTTGGAGACGTGTAATTGCTCTGCACTGGCTGATTGGAGCAGGTTCCCAAGGGGCTGCCTCTTGGTATTCCCAGAGAAGCTAGACAGAAATAAAGGGAGAGCTGATGCTGGAGGTGAAGGACTGAGGTGTGGGGTGGAGCTGAGGAAGGGAAGATGAGAAGGGAGATCTTCATCTGCTGGGGTTTTGGCCCCAGAGAGATGTTGTAAGAGCTGATGGGGGAAGGAAGGGAAAGCATGGGCAGAAAACTGGGTGGTGCCACTGACACACTTCTCAGTGTTCTCAGTCTCCAGGTTCATGGTGGGTCCCCTCAATTAAACACTGGAATGATGTGTGTAAGAGCTTTCATATTGCTGTCAGTGCTGCTTTTTTTCTGCTATTGTTTTCTCTCTTTTTTTTTTTTTTCTTGTCTTTGAGCTTGATTTTGGTGAAAACATTGACTTCTTATGCCTTTTGTTTGGGGTGAGATTGCAGGAAGAGGTGCAAAATGCAGGGTATGGTCCTAGTGAGGAGCAACCTGAAATGCTCCTGCAGTCTCACCTCCTCCATTCAGTTTGTGCTGTACTTTCAGAGGTTAAACCACCTACCTTGGCTGGGTTTGGGCTTGGTTGTGACCTGCTTTGGTCCATGCCATCTCACCCTGCATGCTCTTCCCCATCTTCACTACTTGTATCCCCCTTGTCATGTCAGTGTTCAATCAGACTTTCATCTCCTTTGGGGTCTTGTGTTATCCTATCTCAGCTCCTGGCAAGGCTGTGAGTGATCTCACCACCTATATGGCCAGACAGCTGCCAAAAATTAAAAGGAAAGACTGGACGTACATAATTTATGCTTTTCTTAAGAGCAGTTCCAGGGTTTCCCCCAGCATTTGATGCAGAGCCTGAAACAAGGCAGCCACAAAAAAGTGGAGTAATGCCAATGGCAGTCTTGTTGCTGGAGCAGTGCCCCTGGGCAGGGCATTGCCCTGCCAAGCAGAGAAATGCAGCAGGCAGCTCATGGACAAGAACCAGCAAAAGGCAATTTACTGGCATGTTCTCATTCATTTCCAGGATTTGATTTAATACATTTTCCTTTTGTCCTGCATATGGAGGAATTTGGGAGTTTTGAGAGTTACCGGAGTTTGTTTGGGTTTTAAGCAAAAGGTTTTTGTTGAAACAGGATTGGCAGCAGCAATGTTCTTCTTCCTCTCCTTAAGCTTGAATTTGGTAAACTTTAATGAAAGATTTAATCTTTTTAAAATCATACTATTAAAAAACTCATAGAAAAAAAAAATAGAAACCAAAATAATCTGTAGTCAGTTGGATAATTTTTTCCTGCTACATAACTTCATAACTTTGTGTTGGAAGAGGAACTGTTTCATGGAAAAACTTGTAAGGACAATAATTTTTGACTGGTGCTTATTCATCATTTTTTGCCATTCCAAGACTAAGCTCTGGATTCATATTTGATGAGCCCATTTGGCCTTCAAATGCTTTACAAGCAGTCTTTTTCTCCGTTTTTTTAATGTGAATGAGATCCTCTGGTGCAGCTGTCACAACAGGCAAAGGCTGTTTACATCAGGGTGGGTTTTTTTTTTTGGACCAGATTTGTTCAGATAAAGAGACAATGCCCATAACTTCCAGCTCTGCAAGCCTAGGGAAGAAGACAAAAGTCAAGCCACCTCCTCCATTATTTCCGTTGTTGTTTAGACTCTTCAAGGTCATTTGCTAGCCTTGATTATATTTATGTCATTCTTTTGTCTAACTAGGATGGTGCTGGTTTAAGGAAGGGTACTCACTTCTTCATGGACTATCCATGTGGGTTTTCCTCCTTTGAAATTGGTAGCCAGGTTTTAAACATTGGGGATTCAATCCTGTGAGTAAGAAGATGCTATTCTGGAGTATGGTCCTTCTGCAGAAGAGGAACATACTATAACTATAATGTTTGTCTCTCCTTTTTTTTTTTTTAATCTTTCCAAGTAGAATTTGGGCAGAACAGGTTAACTGCTCTGCAGGAAAATGGGTGCTTTTTTGGTCAACCTCTTCAAATGACCACAGGTTAATTAGAAGGCTCCTGATGGAGAATCACATTATTGTCCATCTAATTTCTTTTAACTAACCAGCATTATGAGGAATATTAAAAGAAAGTGATGTTTAGCTCTAACTTTTAACTAAACTTCTTCAAACAAGTGTATTAAATACATCCTGATGGTGTTTTCAGATGGGTATTTTTTCCCCCATCCTTTAACTGATGGTATTTTCCCTCTTCATCCTCAGGGATTTTTCTGTTTTGCTCTGGCCTTCTGCGGATTGGTCCCAGCTGCCTGCTGGAGATACACGCACAGCACGGAGGTAAGCATCAGCTGCTAGGAAATACCACCAGCATCTCATCAGATAGGGATTTTTTTTTGTAGCAACTTTCTCCCGTAAAAGGGACATCTGGTGTTAATTAAGACATCTAAGCCAAGACCTATCAGATGCATGCTGTGTTCCACCCATCTCTTACAAGAACAGGGCTGCCTTTATCAGCTGCCTCTCCAATGGGGTCACTGAAGGGAGAAGCCATGGAAACCCTCACAGAGGGCAAACACTTTGTCCTGAAGGCAAAACAAAATGCAAGTCTTGTTTTAAATAGCTTTGGGATTTTTTTTCCAAGGGTTGTTTTGTTTTGTTTCAAATGAAATGCTTGCCTTTTGAAAAGTCATTTCCAGCCAGCTCTAATTCCTGATAATGCCACTTGGGAGCCTCTGTTCAAAGGTCGTGGTGGGTTGTGACGGTTCAGGTTGTCTCTGGCAATATCCAGGATATGTGTTCATTAACTGGCAGCAGTGATACAGTAAAAACTCTAGTGTGAAAAATGGTGTTTGGGCTGTTGTCATGCTGGACCAGAAAGATAAGATTGTATGAAGCCAAATATGCAAGAAAGTTGGGGTTTGAATTGTTACCCGTGAGCTTGCTGGTGCTGTAGTAGATGGATGGTGTAGGAGATGAAGGTTCCGAGGAAGCTGTGTTGAGGCACACAGAGTTGCTTAGGGTCAGCCCTGGGCATTGCAGTGGGTATCCGTATCCAGGGGCTGGGATATCCCTGGGGCCACAGTAGCAGGCTGCTGAGGAGAGCAGAAATTGATCTTCATATTTAGTAGCCAAAATTCTCTGTTTCCTAAATTCAGAGAGAAACAGGGAATATAAATGAGGAAAGATTTAATTAGGCATGTCACTTACAAAACATACGGAGATTCAGTTTTGCTTGAAAGGTAACTTGTCTCACCAGTGATAGAAATGCAGATGTGAGAGAGAAATGCAGATGTGACTGTCCCTCCAGGACAAAGACAGGTAGTACAGTGCTCCACAGAACTGATGGGAGCAGGGGGAAGACTCCTGAAGTCGCATTATAGAGCTGTTTATTTGTCTGACTTTCTCAAAGTAAAGAGCAAACTTAAAGCAGGTGCTCTCGCCAGCCCCCTCCTTCTGGCAGTACTGTCAGAAATAGTTACTTGTGGTAGTACAAGGGAAAAAAATCAAACCTGGCCAAATTGACAGTTGTCTTGAAAGCCTGATGGGATTCATGCAGCTACCAAGAAAGGAAGAGAATGTGGGGATGTAAAACTGAATGTGGATGAATATGCCCATTTCACGTGCCTGAATCAGTGCTTCTGAAAGCAACAAGGGGCTACTGTCCCCGTGTTCATGCAACAAATTTGCATTTTCCCATGAAAAACACTTAGACTTTCCAGTGAAAAGAAAATCAGACTGTTCAGTTTGGAAATGCCAGCTTGGAGCTGGCGTTGGTAGATCCCTTCGTCTCCCTGCACATGGGTGAGGTGATGAATTTAGGTAGTGCTGAAAGCAGAGCCTTCCCCTCCTTCTGCAAGCAGGGAGATGGGATATGGGAGGTCCCTCCTACACCAAGCCACCGCAGATACTCTCAATGGTTTATTCCTCTTGATAACCAAAATTATAAAAATATTTAAATTTTCCACTTCCTTCAAAAGCAGACCCCTCTTACAGAAAATCACCCGAAGTGGGAAAGCCATTTGAAAATTTGTTTTGATGGTTATTTTCAAGAGGCAGTAGATAGAAATGTTACTTGAACATGATGAAAGAAAGATGCCATTTTTGATCTGTGGCTGTTTCAGAGCCCTGCTTACAGCACTTCTTACAGAGCAACTATGCAGGACAGGGAAAAAGGACAAAAAACAATAAAAAGAGTTATTTTTAAATATTTGATATCCTCAGACCTGGCACTGTAAACAAAATGTGAATCTTCTCATTTCCCATTCTTTTCTGCTTTTGTGACCTTCTGTAGCTCCTTCAGAATTCTTTCAGACAGATGCCACTTGTTTAAATCTCAAGTTACCTGCATTCAGATAGACTTGGTGTTACATAGTCTTTATTCTGAAAATAACATATACCAGACATGCAGCAGTAAGTATCGAATCTGACATTTATCATGCTTTATCTAAAATGTTCTCTGTTCAGTATTGTAATTATTCCTCCTCTGTCAACCCATACATGTGGCCAGTGAACGGGTTTTGTGAGATCTAGGTCTCCTCTGTACTGTCTTCTCAGGCTGCTTTGCTTGAAACTTTCTTCAGAGGAACCTGTTTGCTCTTCCCTTCTCCTACTGGAAGAGGACATTAATCTTTTATGCTTTGTTAATGAGCAAGGGGATATCTTCTGAGATGGTGATTTTCTAACAGGGCCTGGGGTGCAAAGCTGGAATTAGCAGTTGCAGCTATTAAATAACAAGCACTGCTACACTTGAGGCTTTTTCTTGAAAAGAGCAGCTTTCCTGCTCCCTTCCCTGCATACGGGATCAGCGCGCTTCTCCTGTCTCAGGATCTTCCTTCTAACGAGCACCTTTGCAAAGCCAGGAGCAGCATTGCCTGGGTCTTCAGGAGGCAAATCCTATCTTTGCATGCACAAAAGCAGCATGTGCATCTCTAGTTTCTGCAGATATGAAAGGAGTGACCCAGCACTTCCCAGTAATTTCTTAAGTGGGATTCTAGAGATCCTTCTAGTGGCAAACCAAGCCTGTGGTTTCTTCAGGGTGTGTTTGTGTCTGTAACTGCTTCCACTGCTGTGTGTAGGAGCAAACTTGTGCAGAGTCCAGTCTGTCTCATCTGAAGTCAATGCTTAAATGCTGGCTTAAGTCATAAAGACTTTAATGGGACTTGAATACAAACTGAAGGTGCATTCAGGTGTTTCCTGAAAGCAGACCCAAAGCGTACAGATAGTTTTCCTTTGGTTTACAATTCAGTGGTGCTGGATCAGAATTGTGGCCACTAATGGGGGTCTTATTTTCAAAAAGCTGTGATTTGGCTGTGCTAACACTGTGAATAATCCGATATCCTCCTTGCTCTTGCTGTTATTCTGCCAGGCACAATCACTTTAAGGGAAGCAGAAAGCTTTGTCCAGTCTCTGAAGTCCATGGGAAAGAAAAAGAGAGGGGGAAACCCCTCCCCCTTCCATAGGGTTTTTAAATATTGTGAGTCTTTCCTTGTGTTTATGTTCTCATCACACAGTAACAGCCCACTCCCCCCAGTGAGACACTGCTCGCTTTTGTCTGAGGCGCCACTCAGGCATTTGTACTCATGGGTTTATAATTTATCACTGCCCTGACGCTGAACCCGCATGGCCCCATTTCTGCTGCTTTCTGTGGCACAGTGTTAGCTGGAGGTTCTTTCTCCAGCAGCGTCAGCCCGCAGTACCTGAGACCACTCGGATGGTCACCATCACCATGGCACTGTCCAACCTTCACACTGCTGTTAGGATGCTTATCACAGCAGAGCAGCCAGCGCCAGCTGGAAGGTGACAGTGCTCCCCGAGGGCTAGCTCTGTTGCTGATACAACTGGGTTTTTTAAGCTAAAACTATTTTCAATATCTTTCAGTACTTCCTGTTGGGAAGCGGTCTAAAGTGGCACTGGTTTCAAGTACTGTGGGTGAGAGAATAAGGATTACTGGGATAATTTTCTACGATGTTGGGAGGTTCATAAATTGCTATGTTGTTCATCTTGAATGACAATAGCATAAAGGGTCAGTGTGGACCCTTTGCAGCCTGTTGGTTTTGCAGTTTTAAAATGGACACCTTCCATATGAAGACAGGCTAAGAAAATCGGAGCTATTCAGCCTGGAGAAGAGAAGGCTGTGTGGAGACCTCATAGCAGCCTTCCAGTATCTGAAGGGGGCCTACAAGGGTGGTGGAGAGGGACTCTTCATCAGGGTTTATAGTGATAGGACAAGGGGTCATGGGTTCAAACTTAAACAGGGGAAGTTCAGGTTGGATATAAGGAAGAAGTTCTTTACTGTGAGAGTGGTGAGGCGCTGGAACAGGTTGCCCAAAGAAGTGGTAAATGCTCTATCCTTCGCAGTGTTCAAGGCCAGGCTAGACAGAGCCTTGGGTAACATGGTCTAGTGTGTGGTGTCCCTGCCTATGGCCGGGGGGTTGGAGCTAGATGATCATCAGGTGCTTTCCAACCCTAACTATTCTATGATTCTGTGAAATACTTAGTTTGTTAAAAAAATAATAATAATAAAAAAAAATCCAACAACAAAAAAGCAAACAGTTCCTCCCCTCATGCCCAAACCAAAAAACCAGGAGGACCTTGATACACTGAGGCTGGTGTCACTTGCAAGGGGTGCAGCCATAGATCTGGAGGATTTAGTGAGAAAAACTCATGAGGGTTGATTAACTTCCTGCCTGGTTTTTCTATACTTCCCTGTAAAGTATTTGGTGCTCTGCCAAAATCACAAAGTGATGCTCCTGGCTGAATCCAAGTATCACAGAGATGGCTCTGATGCACCCCTGCCCACTGTCTGAGTGGGAGGTATAGCACCCATGCAGCTAGAATTTTGCTGTTCTTTTTGAGACCTGGAGATGGGAAGTGAGGAGGAGGTGAGAGTGTAACAGCTCAGCACTTTCCTTGTTTTAAATATTTTGTGCAAGGGCCTGATGGAAGTGCTAGGATCAGAAGTAAACAGATTTGTAAGGCTTTTCTTTTCCTGAATTTTTTGTTCTGTGATGGTATTTCTCCTTCCGTGTATTCCCTCAGTGACAGACCATAAGATGGTCACGGTTTGCGTGGTCCTCTTTCAAAACCAGACAGTGGGGGGAAGTCCATATATATAAAAAAATGTTTACATATCTATATATAGATATATAATCTTTAGAGAGACATTGAAAAGAAAAAGTGAAAACCATTTTGCTAAAAGCCTCATCTGGGTCTTCTCGCTTGAGCAGTTCAATGACCACCACCAGTCGGGGGGAGCAGCACCTTCTTATCTTGTGCAGTTTTCCATGGAAGTCCTCAAAGGCCGCTCAGGTTTGCAGCACTGGGTGTATTTCTGCCGC